TCTTGAAATCCCAGTCTTTACTGAGGACAGAAAAAATCTAATGTCACAAGCTGAGCATACAATTGTACTAATAATTGAAGGGCAAAACCACGACAGTCTTGTCTGTCCGTCACACTCATTTTTCTTAGTTTTTGGCACTTTTTTGTACGTTTTCCAGCATGGAGAAAATACTAAACGTAGCCCTCTTAGAGGTAATTCTCAGACGAACTTAGTGATATGTCGCGCTGCGCTCTGCAATGCCATGTTCCTAATCTAGGGGCTTTCGAAAATGCGTGACGGACAGACGCCGAACGGAACTGACTTTTTGCGTGTTTGTGTGACTGTAGAAGTAAAAGTATGTATATTATTATGTTGTAAATAACACCAAAAATTCTGGCTTTAAATTACCTTTAAAATGATGTGACTCTAAAATTTTTGATACAACGAGAAGGTATTCAAATACTACTAAAACTATAGCAAAAGTGCTATTTTTCCGCCGTGGTTTTGCCCTGAAGTACCCCATAGGTATGATTTTCCTAGTGCGAACGAATACATTGATATGTATAACAACTATATTGAGAACTATGTTAAAGAGCAGAAAGAACAAAGTATATTGAAGGATAGGACTGCTTATTTAAAGATAACTGAAATTCTGACAAGATCATGCTTCACCCCTCATGGTCTTCACATTAATCAAAAAGGAAAGAGAGTATTAGCAAATGTAATAGCTAATGAACCTACGTGTTTTCCTTATGAAGAAACAAGCATCAAGTCAATTTTTCAGCTAGAATGCTCATCTTTGAACTCGATCTGTCTTTAAATGATACAAAACGACCCTGAAATTCCCAGCCCGAGTGTCGCTTCAGCCCCTACTCTTACCCTGCCTAATAATACTAGGCACCCAGTCCCCCCGCCCTGTTCCTTCACAACAATACTATCCGACGTCGGCTGCGCCGGCCGCTCTGTCCGCGCCCGCAGTTTATCTCCTTCTCAACGCCGCTTGTACGCCGAAATTGCAAAAACGAAGCAACCATAAACAAATGACAGCTAAATATTAAATAAATATTAATAGAACTTAGAAAACAGACCTTATTCTTAAATTTGTATCATCTGCTTTCAAGATAGATTCTTGATTTAGATTTTTTCTTCTTTCCACTCCGAGTACGTTAAATATTGATAACAAAAGGATTTTGACATAAAATATGCCCCCCATAGTGCAGCATTTTCATTATTTGAGAAATGAAAACAACGAGAATACGCCCAGGATAGAGAAGAAGAAACAAAACACTGCCGGAACGGCTAAGATCTTGCCAGCAGGCGGTGGCGCTCAGAGGCGCCGCCTCCGCGACAGCGGCGGCGTAACTTTGAGCTTCCATATCTCCACTTCCAGACTGTTGTTCGACAATTGTTTTTATATGCGGCAAATCAGCAGACATTCTAGATTCAACAAGCAGGCCCGCCCTTCCGCCAAACGAAGTTGCCAGCCGCCGGCAACTCCGTTCGGCAGGGGCCGGGCCTGCTTGGCCTGCGGCCCGACCATTCCCTGGCACGCGATTTGCTGAAGAACATGATCGAATGATGTAGCGGGCCTTCGGCCCGCTTAAACCCGTCGTCTTTGAGTTTGCCCCAAAGACTCGAGAAAGGGATGTAACGGTGAAGCACCGCGACTACAACCCACCCTTCTGCTAAGAAAACGTTTTTTGGGGGTGGGGGGAGAGTTTTCTTTCTATTTTGCGGTTTTTAGGCCTTTTCCTACAACTTGGCAATTTTTAGCTTATTTTCGTCAAAAAAGACCCTCTAGCGCCTAAACGGGTAGAGATAGAGCGAAACGGACGAAATTTTTGCCCAAAGGGCTCTACTTTGACGAGTTACCCCTTAGGAGCTCACACAAAAAATATTTTTTTCTGACTTTTTTGACCTTCCTTATTTTCTTTGATACCCCCTTTTAGCCCTTTTGGGGTGGTTGCCAGGATTTGCCGTAGGCGTTTCGTTCTCTAGGAGTGGACCTTAAGATACCCTGAAAATTTCAAGTCTCTAGCACATCTCCTTCTAGTGGAACAGACAGACAGACACACAGACAGACAGACAGACACACAGACAGACAGACAGACACACACGAGGTCGTTTGCATAAGCCCGCTGGATAGCTTTTTCAAAGCAGAAAGGCGGGCTAAAAACAGTTTTCCTTTTGTGTGTAAGTTCTCTCGAACGGGAGTTACACGTCGCAACGCGCAGTGGCGTAGCGGTTTGGGGCCCCATGCCGGTTCTCCATCTTAGGTCCTACTCTCATGCTTTGAGGGATCTTTCTTGAAAAACGAAACAGATTTTTTGAATGATTTACGTGTGCAAGTACGTCTGTAAGCACGTAAACTATTCAAAAAATCTGTTTCGTTTTTTCTCATCGTACCCACATCAAACTTTGCAGGACGAGTTCCGCAGCTCTAAAACTAAGAGAAACACATTAAATTTGACCAACTGACAATTTGACCAGTTGTTACAAAGCTCTAAAGGAGCAAGGTGGGCGCAGCAGCGGCCACGCTAACTTTGAGGGACTTCCTCAAAATTTGTGACTTACTTAGAGGGTCGTTCTTTTTTTTTTCAAGAAAGATCCCTCAAAGTTACTGACTCCCTCGAAGTTTTCCCGTTTCCCTCTAAAAGTGGGACTTCGTTTTTACCGTGAGACGTTCAAAAATATGCTTCGGAATTGTCTCTAGAACATGATGTGTGCACGCTAAATAGATCACGGGCCTCTTCAGTCCGTCCTCAATGAGTTCGACAGCCTTAATTCTCCACGCAGTAGTTGAAGCCGTCGTATCAGAACTTACACCCCTTTGACTGCAATCCCCCAGCTTTTGAGCTACGAGAGCACCTCTGTGTTTGCCGGCCCCACTAACAATAATATTTGATCCCAGCAACTGAGAGACGCTTTCGCCTGTGGAAGTATACAAACAATATCATGAGTAATGCCTATAGGAAAGTCCGGGGCCAAACTTAATCACGTAAGTTAAACGGTATCGTCTAAAAATGCTTACCAGTCACCACGGCAGGCTGCCTTTCAACATTGTCTCCTTTCCCGCAGAGAGAAGGGAATTTTTCCCAAGTTCATGTGAACGGTCAGAGGGCAGCTGGGGTAGAAATTTTTCCAGGTGCTATCGGCGAGATTGTTATGGACTCGACTCTCTTCCGATGCACTTGACTTCGGCTTAATCTGGAAGAGGAAAAATTCAAGCCAGCCAACCTTACAGTAGCGGAAATAGTTCTGAACGTACTCGTGGTCGGCATTTTCCCTCTATCCAGTGATACCATGAGCCTCTCCAGGTCATCTGTTGAAGGTGGCACGGCTGGGATCGACGAAAACTCAATTCAATATCAAGATCATGCATTATTGTCCTTAATCAAACTGGCAGGCTGAAAAGTCAGTTGACTCAGGAAAAATAGGTATGGAAAAGATTATTATGCTGTCAGAGCAAGGCGATACCTCAAGTGTAGAAACTGATTTGTTGCTAATTCAATGTAGGTTGAGTAAATTTCTGTACAATTACAGAAACACCCCCTACTACGACCACTCACAAGAGTCCGAATGAAATTTTCAGTTCAGTTTCAAACCCAGAACTATGTTATCCCATCTCGTAAATGAAACCAATGTACCCTTACGCAACTACCATTTCTGAGCTGGTGAACGAGTTAAATTTCGACTTACCAAGAAGTCTGATATAATTGAAGGAGTTATTGTCAGAGCTAAAGGTCCTGACATTTATGCGCAAAGTGACACATCCGCGCACCTTTTGTAAACTTGGCGTACTTTCTGCGACCTGGGTCGGCGACCCTGCGCGAAACACTCGCGCACATGGGGAGAGGGTCGCAACTAGTATGTCATAGGTTTGTCACGACGAACTAAAATCAATCCAGTTGCGTACAGGAAATTTCGCGTCGGGCAATAGGGCCCAATATGTACAGATGTGCGAAAGGTTCGGAATCGACGAATCAGCTCTGTTCCAATCCCCTTCAGAGCAATTTGCTTAAAATGCTAACTATTCGAAATTTCGAATCGTTTCGCCCCCTTTCACCGGCTTCGCTTTTGAATGGCGCGCTCGTTACGTATAACTACAAACAAAATTTTTATCATTCCCTTTCGGTCATATCGTAGAAAATTAATAAAGAAACATGTTTTTGTTCCCATTTACTAAGATTGTCTCATAACGTTAAACATTTTCAGCTAAATTTCAGACTAACAAAACGGGGTGAAAAAATCGATTCGAGAAAAGAGATTGGGAATCGATTCGTTTTTGTTTTTTTTCGATAATTCGATTCGATTCGAGGTGAAACCGGATTCGCTTATCTTTACTAACAGGGTATTTCAACCAGTTCAACCGGTTCCAAAGGAAAACAGAAATGCTTCCTGAACTGTTTCCTCCCTGACGCTCATTGGCAGATGTTGACCAAGTTCGCAGATCCGCCACCAGGTCTGCGACTGCCCTAGCGACGTAGCGACGGGCCCGAAAACTTCGTCGGCGTCAGGGAGGGAACAGTTCTGGAAGAATTACTGTTCTCCTTTGAACCCGGTTTAAACTCGATGAAATATCCTATTCGCGGATACTTTCCTAATCACTCAACTTGGGTGCCGCAGGCCTAGCTACATGGACGCCAGGTGCGTCGCGGTGGAACAGTGTTCCGTGAGATATCGTGAAGCCTGTTACGCGCGACGTGGTCTTGCGTACATGTTGGTGGTTTAAAAGACTAGTTTTTGAGCTCGTCTCTGAACTCGATCTGCCTTTTCACTGGGATACAAAACGGCCTTAGGAAATTTCCAGATCACGATTTTAATTCCTTCTCGGGTTATCATGCATACAGACAGACTAACGAACATAATGTAAAGTTTTCTGTCAGTGGAGATATGGGCTTCTGTTTACGATTCGCCAACAAGTGATTAATGATTCTTTCTGGAAGTCGAACGTACGTGCTCGCTTGGCGATACGTGCTTTGTCGCACTCTTTTCTGGCAGCACCTCGGCCACTTAAGAACAGAAGCTCCCCAAACTCGTGTCGCTCGTGACTAACAGTAATTTAGGCATAGCGGTTGTTTGCTACGTCTTTGGGCCCTCCTCAGGCGGTGTATACAACCAACTGCACTTTGACTACGGACTTCAAGTGAGTAATAAGCTTAATTTTAGGCCAACGTTGGCTCATTGTCCTTAACATACTGCATTTATGCTTGAGAGCGATGGGACCCCGCATCAACACAATGTACACGGTACTAAATATCATCTAGAATTAACGGCGAATCTGTGTATTTTTTTCACTGTACCGTGTTGTTTAGGGATAACAATAGTTGTTCAGGTGAACAACAAAAGTTGTTCTGGGACACCAAAAGTTGTTGAGGCAAACAACATATGAGTTGTCCTAGTTCTATTACAACCAAAGTCAATCAGCAGCTAAAAAATATGTTTAGACACATCAATTGCTGACCAGCAACGAAAGTTGTTGAAGAACAACTAAAGTTGTTTAGGAACAACTAAAGTTGTTTAGGAACAACATTGCTGTGGACGAACATCATTGCAGTTTTGCAACAACTTTTACTGTTGTCGATCAACATTGCTGATTGTCTACAACACCGTCGTCAGTAAGAGAGTTGATTTTCAACAAATATTTGCGGCCGCCACAAATTTGGGACATGCCAATGAACCCATAAAAGTGACGGCCGATCTTTAATTGGCTGAGCGATTACCGAAGCCTATTACTCCGTCTGGTCGGTAAAAACTTTTTCTGACTGTCTGTGTGTCTGTCTGTTAGGGTGTTCCATTTTAAAATCGGTATGCCAGAACGCAGCTTAAATGAAAATACACGTCAAAGAGTTTCCGACGACGTTGGGCGCTGCAATGTCGGGAACCATGTGCAAGAATGGATCTTAGGCCTTTGTCACTTTCGCGCCAATTTACACCCGACAGGATTTTTCCCATGCCGCGCCGCGGACGAGTGGCCGAGGCCGAAGACTCGCTGTCCAAAGACATCCTACGGTAGGTACTTGGAGTTTGTCATTTCGCCGGTAACGCGTGGCGTCACGTTACGTTGGGCGTAACGCCTAAGTGAAAAGCAGCTTAAAAGCAGCTTAAATGAAAATACACGTCGAGGAGTTTCCAACGACGTCGCGCGAGGGGCGCTGCAACGTCGGGAACCATGCGCAAGAATGGATTTTAGGCCTTTGTCACTTTCGCGCCAATTTACACCCGACGGGATTTTCCCCCTGCCGCGCTGCGAAGGCGCGGCCGAGGCCGGGGTACCGCGCGGCGTCACGTTACGTTGGGCGTAACGCCTAAGTGAAAACCAGTATTTTCGCTGCAGCGGTGCACATATTCATCGAATGGCGACCGAGTTTGTGCGAGAACGTAGAAAATATTGAGTGTTATAGATGGCCCAACGCTAATCGATAACATTCATCGGCATCATAGGCAAAAGTCAAAAAAACACGTTTTGTGGCAATTCCGCCTGCCAACTAGGCAACCAGCTGTCTGCATGTGTGTAGAGATGTTGTCTAGTTGACAGGCGGAATAGCTACAAAGTGTTTTTTTTTTTTACTTTTACCTATGATGCCGGTAAACGTTATCGTTTAACGTTGATCCATCGATAACACTCACTCTTTGCTACGTTCTCGCACAAACTCGGTCGCTGTTTGACGCATATGAGGACCGCTACAGCGAAAATACTGGTTTTCACTTAGGCGTTACGCCCAACGTAACGTGACGCCGCGCGGTACCCCGGCCTCGGCCGCGCCTTCGCAGCGCGGCAGGGGGAAAATCCCGTCGGGTGTAAATTGGCGCGAAAGTGACAAAGGCCTAAAATCCATTCTTGCGCATGGTTCCCGACGTTGCAGCGCCCCTCGCGCGACGTCGTTGGAAACTCCTCGACGTGTATTTTCATTTAAGCTGCGTTACGAATAGATCGGTGGCTCCACTCCTAAAAATGGAACGCACTTTCCTCGGTGTCTTTCACTAGACCAACAAACGTTTCTGTGAGCCTGTGCTTTGCTATGTCAACCAATGCCGCCTGATGTTGCAACAGTGCGTGTCGGATGACCGAAATAACGTTCCTGATAACGTTGATTTTGGTTACACGTATTAACGGTACTGGGTAACTGAACATAAATTCGTTATTTTGTACTAACGTTAAATCCTATAGCCGCTTTTAGAATAACGTTCATTTGCAGTTATTTTATTTGAGTTCAATTATTAATCGTCAAGTATTTTGGTTTTTAAAAATTACCGACAAAAAAAAATGGGGGAAAAATGTTCTCATCTTAATTACTGTTCCGTCGTTACGTTAAAGTTTTTGTTAAGTTAGCAAACCCCGACTACTCCCCACCTGCCCCCCACCTCTTCCCGGGCGGCCCACTCTGCTTAGTAGAGCAGCGCCTTTCCACCTTTTGTTTTTGAACTTACCACCGCTCTGCGCTCCATTGGAATACCCTATTATTCTTCTTTCGTATATTTACGTGTTGACCAGGTTTGGTGTCAAAATGAGTCGAGAGAATGTCTTCGCCTGTTTCGTAAGTTGTTTGTTCTCATCAACGAACCACTTAATGATTCCAATTGATATTTATTGTGTTCATTCAATACACTCCTACTCATCTCGTGTGCTCTCCTAGATACTCGTCTACTTCGTCAAGTGCGCGGTAGGACTAGCACTCGAGCCCATTCCTCGGACACCCGTAAGTACTTCGCTACACTGTTATTTAAAGGCGTCCCGTCAGAGTGCGACAAAGGCGTATGCTACAGAAACCAGTGCGACTTAAGTCGCAGTCTGGGCATACACCTTTGTCGCACTGCCACCATACACCTTTGTATGCATAAAATGCCGGACAACCCCTAAGCCCCCCGAAGCCCCCTGAGCGGGTGCTTGGCCTGCATACACCTTGGGAGTGCACTTCATGGGCCTGGAGCCCACGGCTCACAGCTCCCTAAAACCGTGTACTGTTTTACCCAACACAAGGTGTATGGAGGCCAAACACCTGCCCAGGGGGCTGGGCAGGGCCTTAGGCCCTGTCCGGCATATTATGCATACAAAGGTGTATGGTGGCAGTGCGACAAAGGTGTATGCCCAGACTGCGACTTAACACTAGAACTACCGGGATTTTCGTATACCTAGATCTACCGGAGGGGTCATATTGACCCCTAGGTACTATTCCACCATTTTAGCTGTTAAAAGACTGCGGTTTTGGGTACACAACTTCTTATTTTTGATTTTCTTGACACTTGATGCAATTTTTGGACCTACGGGGGTCCCTGTGTGGGGGTGGGTAGGCAACCCGCAAAGCACAAAATGTGATTTTTCAGACGTTTTTCAGGTTTTTTCGCAATTTTTCGTTTTGTTTCCGGTAAATTGCATAGGATTACAATCAAATACAATAATTCTCAACATTTAAGCATAGCCTGTGTTTATTTCAGTCTCACAAAACAACCGTAAACACTGCAAATACTGTAAGTAATTCTGAAACTAAGGTTCCTACGAATAAAATAGTATACAAATATCATGCAATAACAGTCGTAATAGACTATTTATTAACATTTTTACCCTCCGTTCGGCCATGACACGCGTTTTCAGGCCGACAGAACCGTTGCGAATGGCTTATAAGTATTATGTGAGGAAACCGTGATTTTGAGATGTGCGGGTTGCCTACCGATACTGATAGAGGTTCAAGATTGTCACACGACCAAGCGGACGTCAATACTTACCACACAGAACAACAATGGCAAGTTTTAAGTTGAAAAACGCTCGCTAAAACCATCAAAAGCCCTCGGAAACTAATACAGGGGTCAAAATGACCCCTTCGGTAGAGCGAGGTATATGTTATGGTATCTCATAAAGTTTGTGACGCACATGCCTGATTTCTCGTGTCAAAGCGTATTTTGGTGACCCATGAAAAGTCAAAAAGTGGCGGGTCGGTAGAAATTTTTTTTGATTGTTCGTTTGGCAATGCAAAATCAAAAGGGGTCATTTTGACCCCTCCGGTAGTTCTAGTGTTAAGTCGCACTGGTTTCTGTAGCATACGCCTTTGTCGCACTCTGACGGGACGCCTTTGAAATAACAGTGTAGACATTTTGCCAAGGTAACGATCCCGAGCAAGGTCAGCCCACTTCTTCGCCAATCCAACCCTGCTGGTCGCTAACACGGTAAAAACAATGTCTCATTTTTTGAGGTAAGAAGGCAAACTTTGAGGGAATCCCCTGGTTTGCCGAAAACTCCCCAGATTACAACGAAGTGTCTTAAAAAAATGAGATTTTTCCTAATTATTTGAGGAGATAAATTATGAACTGTTTTTTTTTTTTGTTTTTTTTTTTTTGTTTTTTTTTAAGAATGAATTCCTCAAAATCTGAGGCGAGGTCAGAGGACTGTTCATCAATCGTGGGAGTGCCTGAAAGGTTTTCCCTTCTCCTCAAAAAATTAGACATTGTTTTTATTGTGAATAAACATGGATATGCCCAAAATCGCTCCAAACTCCTTAAAATGCTACGCAGAGCTAATGTTTTGGAAGGCCAGGGAGGTGTTAATAAATCTATTTAGGGTCATATTAAAAAGTTCGGAGTATTCATTCACGTCTTTGTTAACTTTAAAGCAAAACGAAACTAAATTTGAAAGGATTAACTCAGATAAAGATATAAACATCAGACATGACATGAACATCCTGGCATCCATATATAAAATAGGAAGTAGAATATCAATCACAATCACAAAAATCACAAATTACATTGCTTGACAAGATTGGAGATAAAGATTAGTAGTATCGTATTAGTATCATTTTCGTAGTGATTAGTTATTTGAACATCATGGGCACAGGGTCAAAGTATATACTAGTGTGCAAAATTAAAGCTGCAGAAGAGCCAAGTACTCATCTTCATTGAGTGGCTGGTCACCATCTTCACTGGCAGGGTTAGAACGTGCATACTTCAGGAGTTGGGTCCTGAACTTGATAGCTCCATTCTTTAGTCGTTGTAGATGTTGGCGATTATTTGGGAGAGAGTCCAGGATTGGTAAACCATCAAAGCCTTCTCCTTCACTGAGTTGGGCTAATTGCCTCTCTACAACATCAATTTTTTGATAGATGAGATGGCTTGTAGGAAATTTATTTGTTTGGAGAAGTTGAATTCAAATCTCCACTTCTTTGCCCTTCACAGCTACAAACTCAGCCTGTACTAATTTTTTTTCTCTTTCCAGAACAGGCAGCCGTTTGAGATACCTTATGCTTTTGCTTTCTTTGTCATTAGAATCTTCCTCAGCCTCAACCTCAAAATCATCATCTTCACTATCCCCTTCTAAAAATAGAAGAATATCTTTAAAGTGAATTGGCAGTTTACTGACTTCTTCCATGAGTACCATCTAGTGATGGAGGGTATTGGGAATAGGGTCCACATGCTCTTATCATCAGGATATTTTTCTTGCAGATAGAGACGAAACTCATTGTTTCTTTTCCGAGCATGCAGAAAAGCTGTCTTCACCTTTGCCACTGCTGCATTAGGTCAGGAAGATATTTTTAAAAAGTGTTGGCAGGATTACGCAATTTATGGGTCCAGCACTGCACATGGAGTAGTTTGAGATGAAGTCCTTTCAGAATTTTGCAACACTTGGTATCGAGCTGAGTCAGACACAACTGCAACTATGTCGTTAGTATTTTTCTCCACTATCTGGAGACAGTCCAGTAAAGCATTGGCACAGAAGCTGGAATTCACTAAGTCAAGCACAGCAGATAAAGCCAGACAAAGCTGTTGAGTGTCTAAAGGTGTCAGGGGCTGCAGCAATATATTGAATACTGCCCTCACTGATAAACTAAGTGTTCAACTGCTCAAAACTTCTAAGTGTGCAACTGTAAGTTAAATACTTGCAAGTGTGCAACTGCAAGTTAAATACTTTCAAGTGTTCAACTCGGTTGGTGTGCACTTGCAAGTGTGCAACACCTCGGTTAAACACTTCCTACACATTAAGCGTCCAATCTGAGGAAGTGTGAAACCGAGGAGTTGCACACTTGCAAGTGCACATCTACCGAGTTTAACACTTGCAAGTGTACGACTACGGAGTTGCACACTTGCAAGTATTCAACTTGCAGTTGCACACTTACAACTGTTGAGCAGTTGAACACTTAGTTTATCAGTGCTTTCACTTGCATTTGTGGTCTCGTCACAGTATACAAGACTAGGTCTTTTTCTTTCAGAAACTCTTTTAGCTTATCTTCCTTAATTTATGTTTTGGAATATATATCTCCCTGAGAGGTCTTGGTGCTGTCCACGCCAACTCGACAGCAAGCGACCCAGTGGGAATCTCGATTTTTCTATGGTAATCGATGCTACTTTAGGTCTAGGTCCCACACGTGAACCCGACAGAACTTTGTCGATATCTCAACTGGGGTGGAGTGGGTGCGGATTATAGTTCTAGCCCCCACCCCCCCTCTAAATGACTATTTCCGACCGTGCACCGGACTGGTCGCGTGCAGCGCAATCGAATTCTGCCAGTGGTTAGCACTACACGATACCCTTCGAGGACGGAAGGGTGCAAGCGAAAATATTTGCCGCTTTGAGAAAAAATTAAATATTACGAAACCAACACGTCAGCTCAATTATCTCAGAGAAAACTGTATTTTGTGGGCCCCTAGGAGTCCAATGAATATCAATTCTGGGATTAGTAGGTATGGGTGGATTAGAAATGGGCCCGAAGTGCTGACGAAATCAAAATAAAGGTTTTCGTTATAATTGAGTTGATGTGGTCGTTTCGAAATTACTAATTTATTCTGATAGTGGTTTTTCGCCTTCCGTCTTCGAAGGGCCTGGTATCGTGTCAACCACTGGCAAAATTTGATTGCTCTGCACGCGCGCAATCCGGCGCACGGGCGGAAATAGTGATTTGGAGGGGGTGGGGGCTGGAACTTTGATCCGCCCCCAGTCCACACGAGAAGAGATATCGACAAAATTCCTTCGGAGTCATGCGTAGGACCTATCTACTTGTCGAGTTGGCGTGGATAGCCCCTCTTGCTTTTGGCAGATCATCACTGCCAGGCACTCACTTGCGGACCCAGTCTTGAAAAGCCTGCAAATATTTGAACAAATTATCCTAGGGAAGAGAGTGGAAGGAATCATCACAATTCATTGCTTTAATTGTAGGTACTTACTGGATGTTCAACCTTATGCAAAGGTATACCTTCTAATATATATTAGAATCAACCAAAGCCTGAACTAATTCTAAAATAGAAGTATGCTTTTCGTCGTTGCTTTGTTTAGCAAAGTATCTCACCTGGCGCAAACCGGATCCACGAAGAACGGAGCAGTTCTTCCTAAACTGATTGGCCGACGTCGACAAAGTTCTGAACTGACCGCAAGGACGGTTAAACCCCCAAGTATCGGGTCCAACAGCACTGCTGTTCTTCTTTGGATCCGTTTTGCGGCAGGTGAAAAATCCTATTTGGCAACTTGCGTTTGGACATAATCGGGCTTGACATATCGCGGGAACTTAAAACTAAATGAGAAATGATTTTTCTTTTATTCAGCGAGGATGCGTTTTAAGCACATCTCCAACAGCTGCAAATTTGTCTCTACAATAATCGCCCCCCAAAAAAGGTATTTGTACCTAGGCTATTTACAAATTTTAACATTTCAGATCACCAGTTAACGCACTTTTGAATCTGGAAAGTTACAATTTGTACCTAGCCGAGGTACAGCTTAACATTTTTGAGGGTTTTGTTTAGAGACAAATTTGCAGGCCTGACGGCGCTGACAACCTACTCGAGCACTGGGCTTATGCAACCGCTCTCGTGTCCGGCAGCCGTCCGTGTATAAGGAAGGAGATGTGCTTGAGGTCTACAAATCTTAGGGTGTCTTAGGGGTCACTCCTAGACACCGAAACGCCGGGTGCCAATAAAGCATTCCGGTAAAGCTGAAATGCAGAAGAATGCAGGGAACAAGAAAACGGAAGTCCCATGTATAAGCATAGTGCTTCCCGTTTTTTTCTTCCTCGCATTCTCCTGCATTTTAGCTTTACCAGAATTCTTTATCCTGGCAACCAACCGTTAGTAGGTAATAAGGGGTAACAAAGGAATAGGGGCTGAAGAAGTGGGAAATTTTTTGATTGCCTCCCAAGGGGTAATTCGCGAAAGTTGAACCCTTTAGCTTGAAAGGTTGTCCTAAGAAAAACCGCTCAGCGATCCAGGGGTAGCGAACAGCCGCTCAGCGCACGGGTGGCTGGAAACAACCGTTCAGCGCGCGCGACGCTCCCGATAACCGCCTCAGTCGCTTTTTCATCGAAAATGTAATACTGGTATTGTTCAAAAGAGGCGGAAATTCTCTTTCGGATGATACCAACATTACATTTTCGGTGAGCAAGCGACCCGTGCGCTGAGCGGTTGTTCGCTCAGCCCTGGGTCGCTGAGCGGTTTTGCTTATTAGGGGCATCGCATCACGTATCTAACAACTGTAGGTCCAATTTTTGCGTGTCAGACTCGAAATGCGGTGGCATTCCTTGCGCCGACAAGAAGGGAAGGGAAATTGGCAGCAGCCTGCCGTGCTGTGGAGTCGATTGTTCCTGAAAAATTCGCATCTCGTGGGCCATTTACTTATTTTCTACTAGTTTTAGCAGGACTCATTGTCGCCTTTGCCTCACTTACAACGCAATAATAACGTTATTTATGGTGGCGTACACAACCTCTAAGGCGCATTTTGTTCTCTCTTTCTATGACCAATGTTTGTGTTTAGCCCGCCCTTCTGCTTTGAAAAAGCTATCCAGCGGGCTTATGCAAACGACCTCGCGTCTGTGTGTCTGTCTGGCTGTCTGTCTGTCTGTTCCACTAGAAGGAGATGTGCTAGAGACTTCAAATTTTCAGGGTATCTCGATACCTACAAGGAAGACACACGTACTTCTGGGCTCCCAGGACAGACTCACGTACTTCTGGGCCCACAGGACAGACTCACGCAGTTCTGGGCCATGCATGCATATCCACGTAGTTCCCTTAACCTCAAAACTTACACCTGAAAGAATGCCTATTGCTGTCTGTAGATGTGACCTATTGATTTAAGGGTGGTCTTTTATTAAACCTGCTAACATGAGCAGTTGGTCCAAGAAATTTACTTGCTGTACAATTAGTGGAACACTTTGTATTTGATGCTGCTTTAGAGGCTATGGAACTACGTGTTTATTGCATTGGGCATCAGAATTACGTGAGTCTACCCTCGGTCCTCGGAATTACGTGAGTCTGTCCTGGAAGCCCAGAAGTACGTGTGTCTTCCTTGTAGGTATCGATCTTAACGTTCACTCCTTGAAAACAAAACGCCTACGGCAAATCCTGGCAACCAACCCTAAGGGGCTGAAAGGGGGTATCAAAGAAAAGGGGGTAGGTTAAAAAAGTCAGAAAAAAATATTTTTTTAATGAGCTCCTAAGGGGTAACTCGTCAAAGTAGAGCCCTACGGCTACGGGCGAAAATTTCGTCCGTTTTGATCTATCTTTTACCGTTTGGGCGCTGGAGGGAGTTTCTCTCACAAAAGTGGCCCAAAAATAAATTTATAATTTCCGCCCTTTGGGCGAAAATTTCGTCCGTTTGGCTCTATCTCTAACCGTTTAGGCGCTAGAGGGTCTTGTTTGACGAAAATAAGTTAAAAATTGCTGTAGTGAACAATTAAATGTAAAAGAAGGCCCAAAACCGCAAAAGAGGTAAGAGACTCCCTCCCCCCACCCCAAAAAACGTTTTCTAAGCAGAAGGGTGGGTTGTAGTGGCGGTGTTTCACCGTTACATCCCTTTCTCGTGTCTACGGGGCAAATTTTAAGGACGACGGGCTTTGCGGGCCGAAGGCCCGTTACATCATTTGATTATGTTCTACAGCAAATCGCGTGACAGAAATGGTCGGGCCGCAAGCCCGACCATCGCCGCCAGCAGGCCAAGGAGGCCCGGCCCCTGCCGAACGGAGTTGCCGGCGCAGCGAAGCGAAGCTGGCAACTTCGTTTGGCGGAAGGGCGGGCCTGCTTGTTCCTGATATGCCTCAAACGAAGGAAATCCGCGGAAATCGTCCAAAAACTTAATTCATAGCTCACACTCGTCGAGCGCCTCTTCACACCGCATGCTTCCAGAATAACATACAAAACATTCGTACTATTGAAGACCAAAAGTCTTGTCAGTGTGCGACAAAAAGAAATTTAAAGGTAAAGGTCGGCTCGCTTCACGTAAATTGATTGCTTGTCTCCTAGCATGAGAAAATACGGACTGAAAAAGCTATTTGTGATCTTGTAAAACAGGCTTTGAACGAGATGAATGACTCCAATCTCGAACTGGATTATACCGTTGTAATTCCCATATTGCCATCTTCATTTTAATGTTAGGCTTAAAGTACTTTGCTTGAGTAAAGTACCCAAGAAAGCAATTTTAGTTTATGCTTGCACACGCTCCGCCCAGCAGATGGCGCGCTAAGCGTCAAGTGCCCAATCTTAACTAACCAGGGGGAAGGCTATGGTAAAATGTAAGTTATTGTAATACATGGTAGTCCATGGTCTGTCATGGTTTATTGTAGATAGACCATAGTATTATGGCCATGGTTATCCATGGTAACCATGAAACACCATGGTTAAAAACGTAAGGAAAACTATGGGTGAGAAAGAAACCGGAAACCATAATCCATCGTCAAGTTAGTTTGGCTGGGTTTTCGGGGCAGGGATTTCGAAAGCAGGGAGAGCTTTGCGGGAATCTTCCTCTAGTTGGTTAAGTGAAGGTCAGGCCGCTCCAACATAAAACGGCCTAACCGGCATGTAAGTATCCTCCCAGTCTCCACAATATCGTGCATGAAAGGTCTTACCTGTCAAGACGTTATCAAGGTGAGATGCCCCATACCAACCTCACCATGTTCGTGTTTCAGGCCGAGATTCTAAAGTCAGATGGCTATCCGTCTGAGGTCCACCATGTCACAACTGAGGATGGGTACATACTTCAGATAGACCGTATACCTCGGCCCGGACAGCCAGTGGTATACCTTGCCAATCAACTGTTCAGCTCAGCAGCTGCTTATCTTATTCTCGGAAAGGGGAAGTCGATTGGTAACTATCGCGAATTATACTACTTGTTGAAACTGCAGTTATTTGTATTCAAGTTACTATTGAGAACGTTATAACTTAACATTTTCGTGTTAACTGTTCTACCAGGTTTTCTCTTGTATGATACTGGCTTTGACGTCTGGTTAGGAAACTTCCGAGGTACCAACTTTTCCCTTACTCATCAAAACATGACAAGCTCTGATGACAACTTTTGGAAGTTTGGGTATTTTTATCGTACTAAATCTTTTGTTGTGTGTGTGCATAAACTTATGTTTAACTTTAAAAAAACACTTATTTTACGTGACTAGGCATGGATTTAACGTTACCTTGTGGATGTTTAAAATACTGTACACTATAACCCTCTTAATTATTTTTTCACATCTTTCTGGTTTTCTGTGTGACTGCTACGCTTACGCATTTTTTTAATGCGTCAGTATGGAGAAATCAGTGAGCTGTGAATTTAAAAAATGTCCTAAAATTTTAGCATGTGAATGTTTTCTCGTATCCAAATGCATAGGTATTTTTTGTTTTCTCATTCTTAGACAAATTAAATTTTTTTGCATGGGAAGATGCAAATTTGCCATTTTAAACATCCGCGTTTGCATTTAGGCGAGGTGTGCAAAAAATGCGTGTTTCACTCAACCCTTGTTTTAAAAAATAAAAAATTAAATAAAGACCCGCTACAGATTGTGGATTACCAGGGAGTACTGGGGATTACCAGTCTGTGTACACCTGATTGCGATAGTTGTCCCGCAGGCATGGCAGACACAACAGAATTAGTGCGCTCTTTATGGCATATTACCTTGAAACGTAAGAACTTAAACTTTGATATGGTCTGGCGTGCGTTTAACGGTAGAATTATTTGTACCAGGTGGCATGAACATGGGACCCTGGACAATCCCGCAATCATCGACTACATTTTGTCCACTTCAAAGCAATCGAGTCTCGTTTTCATGGGTCATTCTATGGGTGCGACGACTTTCTTTGTGACGGCCTCGGAGCGCCCTGACACGCTCAGCAAGATCCGCGCCGCCTTCCTCATGGGGCCAGCCACCTTCCTGGCACACCATCGGAACGCCGCCCTGTCCCTCTACCACCCCTTTGCCAATTTGACACGGGTGCGTAACGAGTGCTCACGGATAAAATTAAGCATCCTTCTTCTGCAAGCCAGAGAGCCCCGGTTTCCAAGCAGAACACGCTGTTCTCCAAGCAGGCGCGAGCGCCCATCTCCTATCAGATCCCACACGGAAAAAAGACGTCTATTAGATGTCTAATATGCATCTTACTCTAGACCCCCAAGGGTCTATTAGACGTTTAATCGTGTCTACCACTAGACGTCTATAATTGATCGATTGTCCACATTTACAACATCTATTAGACGTCTTTCTGTCGATGTTAAATAGATATCTACTGACAAGTATTTTACGACAAAATTTTAAAATTTTAACTGTTCGCGAGCGAACTGACTGCTCTCTCATGACTCTGTGTTCTCCTTGGTTATCTTTGGACGTTCGAATCTGTCACCAGTGCTGGGATTAGAACCCTCAACCTTTGGGTTCGAGAGCGCGAACGCTACCCCTCACCCATCGGTTGCTTCTAGGAGGAGCTGTGTTGGAAGATGATATCTTTCTACAGAGATGACTAGACGGCTACGCATATCTACAGATTGTCTACTTCTAGACGGTGCATGAGAAATGACTCGGAGAGTTTGCTAGACCTTATTGTCTTTTGGTAGATAGAAGGAAGATAGTCAATAGACGTCTAGAACTTACTGGTTTTAAGACGTAGACGTTTAAGACGTAGCAAAGATATCTACTAGACGTATCGGTTTCATTACAGGTAGACCTAGACGTCATAGACTGGTGGCAGATGATCTATAGATATCTTCATATCGACAGAAGTATACGTAGATCAGAAATGCAACCTCAAGACCGTCTATCGATGTCTACAGTATATCTATCAGTAGATATAGACAATTTGTACGTATTCTAGATGCTCTATTGATGTCTATATATGTCTATAGATGTCTCTAGACCGAATAGACGAACGGTAGACCATCTACCATCATCTATAGATGTCTATTTTCCGTGTGGGATTGACCGGCTTCCAAGCAACCCGTTCTGCTTGAATGTTGCCACTTTTGCTTGGAAACCAAGCACCCGCTTTTAGTGTGTGGCTCCACGCTACTCAGGCAATTATGATCGGTGAGCCGCAGCAGTGCTGCCAGAAAAGTAGGCAAAACCCGCCCAACACACAGCTGTGTGGAGCGGTCGGTATCTACGCCTGCCTACTAGACAACATCTACACATTCGTGCTGAGGTTTTGCCTAGTAGGCAGGCGTAGATACCGACCGCTCCACTCAGCTGTGTGTTGGGCGGGTTTTGCCTACTTTTCTGGCAACACTGAGCCGCAGTCGCTAGCGATGCAACTAGGTGTCGTGGTGACGTGTACCCCCGGTAGAGATTCACCTCGGTCCACCTCCTGGGATCGTGGGACTGTCGATAGCGGCAAGTGAGGTGCTTATGCTTACGATGGCCATAGCTCCATTTGCACTCGAACATGCCGCTTTTCATGGGCTCCCGCGACTAGTGGACCGACCGATGAAAACCTCTGCCACCCAGTGGTTGTCGGTCGTCTGGTAGAGAGAGCATTTCCGTAGGGCTATTCCAATATTTTCTTACTATTTCAAAGTATTTCAGGTCACTTCGTGACTATTTTACCTTTCGACGTGACTGGAAGTGACGCAAAGTGACCGGTCACACATAGTAAAAAAGGTGTTGGGATTTCTCCAGGATTCACTCTTAACCACTACAGCTCCCTCCGACCCTCTCATTGCGAATCCTCTCAGTCCGGCGCATTTTACTCGCGGGCTCCTGCCTGCATGAGAGAGTGCGCTCAATGTCCAAGGAATTACTAGACAGCGCCGTTCCTAGCCCTATCGTCGTAAAACAGGTGTTGTAGGAAGCGATTATTACGTCGCCTATGTGTTTCTGAGCTAAAATCGACACGCGTGCGAGTAAATGTACGGAGTCATTCGGGAAACCCTAAAGGACTTGTGCACTATTTTTCCCGACTGTTCCTTCGTTCAATCCCATTAGCTTTTTAAACAGTACGGACGCGTACCCGCGTACACGCTAACCAAAGCACCTATTGCTCAGCTTCTCTCGACTAGGCTCTGTGGAGTTACAGTAGGCGCTTGATACAGACAGGGCGGAACTATAGCGAGCCCCCACCATACCCATTTATGAGATATTATTTTTACGCCACCCCCTTTACTTTGAAGCCCTCTCTCATCCCCCAAAGGATTCTTACAAAAATTTGCTGCAGGCGTTTTTTTTATTCCAATGTGTCCCGGTGGCCGGTGTCCCGGAATGGCCATCGAGGTAACCTACGAAAAAAACAAAATCACTGTATTACAAAGACACGGCTTGGTATCTTTCAAAGCACTGCGTTGTAATATGAAACATATTTCTGTGTAAGACAAAGATTAGTGCTTCGTAATACAAATAAGCAATGCGGTTCATAATTACGAATAAGAATTCAGATTATTTGTATGCCGACGAAGAAAATGCTTTGCAAGGTTTAAACAAGGTGTACTGTGACAACTACATACTTTCGTTTACTTCTTATACTTGCAGACGGTAGCGGATTTGTCTAACCATCATCGCCAACCAGTGGAGTTCATTCGTTCAGTGATTGATAAGATTTGCAACAGCGCCAGGAAATTCAGTCAATCACTTTGCAGACTGGCTGGTTTAAGTCCTGATGATCGCATAGTAAGTATGGCTGTCGATGTGTCCTAGATATAAAGGCCGGTGGCCTTTAGGTTTAAACCTATGAGGCCAATGTAGTGCCCTGCTTTTTAAGAAAGTCCGATGTTTAGACCGCCGCGCCGTTTGGATATCGGCCCCTTTGTTTTCAGTGAAATGTGGGCTAACCATTGGGAAAACAAAGAAAGTTCTTAATAAACGGAGGATGAATGTCCAATCTACATTTGAGAACTTGGAAGTTTTTGTCATAATCCTCATGGTTTGCCCGTATTTTACTAAAAAAGAAAGGTCCTATGACTATTCCCCGACCCGACCCCGACCCAGGGGCACATTCACTTCACTTTGATACCGTAGGTCTCCATAGACCTGTGGTTTTCACGTGGGTATACGAGCAACCCCGCTACTTGCGTGCCTCCAGGTGTAAAGACAAAACGTTCCCACACGTTCCGCTCGCCACATTGGAGCCAGGCTCTATCTAGACGCGGTAGAGCTGGGACCAGCGTCCTGGGGGCGTCGTGGCGTAGCCGCGGCGCATGTTGAAGCTTCATATTCCCGGAGTCTTCTTTGGGTAGTGGCCCTTCACTGTAGTCTCCGCCGAGCGACAACCCCTCCGGTTCTTCGGTTTCTGGCCACAGGTGCTCCTCGGTAGCGGTGGTCGCGTGGGTCCGTCCTTAGGGGAGCTGCGGGTCGGTGGCGCGTAGAGGTGACTGTAGATGATCGTCGGAAGTGAGGTTGGAATAAAGGATACAGTTCTTGGGCCCCAGCCGGGTGCGGTTGGCGTTGCGGTGGCGTCCTGGCGCAGGCGTCGCAGCATGGGTCGGAGGGGAGGGGGGGGGGGTAAGGACTGATGCTTAGACAAATGTAACATTGCAAAGAAAGGATACGGCTTTTCAAGCGCTGAAAGAGACTTTTGGGTGATGCTGGTTTCTTGAGAGCGCGGAGGGGGCAATAGAGTGAGAGAGATAGCGTCCGTGCGTACGAGAAGGACTAAGTGTGTGTGTGTGTGGGGGGGAGGGGTCAGGACTGATGCTTAGAGAAATGTAA